TACAGTTCCATCTACACAAACATGGCTACACCAGACGAGTGGCAAGGAAGAAACTGGCTGTAAGGGAGATAAATCGCAAAAAAGTTTGTCATGGTGCCATAAAGAGAGAGGACTGACAGTGGGTAGTTTATGGAACAAGGTGATACTCTCGGACGAGTCTTAAATAATGATAGGACATGATTCCTGTGTGTATGTTTGGCGAGATTTAGTGGCGCCACGTCGTTGTAAACCATGTTACCAAGTCATGATCTGGGGATGCATAACATGATGAAAATCTGTGGCTAGTCTTAGCTCGTCATTTCCCCCCTGGGCATTATATATTTCAGGACGACAATTCACATGTCAACCGTCCATGCACGTTCTACCAATGAATTCATTCATATAAACGGAAGTACTACAATGAGCTGGCCAGCCCAGAGCCCAGATATTAATATAATAAAAAATATGTGGTTATATTACTAGTCAAGAGAAAGGTACAACAACGTGTTGGGATGGTCGCTAGTAGAGATGATCGTGAGGGTATCAGGGTAGAGATCACTCCAGACTATGTGAAGTACCTGTGCCGATCTATTCCTCAAAGATTACTGAGTGTCATTCGACTGAAATGACATCTCACAAAACACTTAGTAGGTTTTCATTATTCATTTCAATTTCTGAATTGCATTTATTATGTTTGACAGCTGAATTATTTGTCGTAATGAATGTAAACACCCCGCCATCTTGTCCGAAAATATTTTACATCATACTGTACCTTACGTTGCTACAAATAAAGCAGAATATATGTAAACTTTGAACAGTTTGTTTACATTTGTTTTCATCCGAAATGACTAGTTTGATGACCTGAAGAAACAGAATTTCAACATTTATTAGTTCCTTCATCAACATAAAGGGAAACAAAAAGAAGATATGTCAAAAAGCGTCCCGAGGCTTTTAGCTTTCGTTCCGCAACACTCTGATCTCGAACAATATACAAGCCAGCATCTCTAGAGGCCTACACTTCCGTGGACGCGGCGGAGGCCATACTTGTGTGTCTCCACAGTCTCGATCCGTTTGATGTTAGTGTAATTTGTCGCGCGGGTTTGGGCTTCGGTCGTCTCACACACGATGCACACATCATGTATCTAAAACACTGTCTAAAGTTCTGACTAAATATACTGTACAGCACTGGATTTGCCGCGGAATTCAAATTAGCTACGATCATTGTAAACACTTGAAAAGAGAAGTTTTCGTGGAACGTGGTTGGGGAAATCGTGTTACAGATAAGTAAGATCTGATTCGGTGAGTAACTTATGAAATATACAATGACACTCATCATCAGCATTTTAACCACGCCCCTGCAAGCTTGAAGCGCCTCCGAGAATCGCTCCAAGGAGGACCCATTCACCTGGCGCACTGTTACTCTGCGATGGAGCCTGTCTGATCCCAGGAAGAGGTGTTTCGTGATAAAAGCGTATAAGACTATCTGTATCAACAAGGGAAGGAAATAAAATAGCACCGACTCGATGTATTTAAAGATTTTGAAGTAGAATATGTGGTTATCAGGGAAAACCATCATACAGTACAGAACAGGTATGTGAGGATGCCCTTGTCTGACCTCGTTAAATATCAGGGTAGGGAGTCCCGCTGCCCATGCGCACGGCCATATACATCCCAAAATCACAACGATCCGACGCTTGTTACACACGATATGAGCTTTGATAGGGTGAATAATGGCGACGTATCTGAAACAAACAAACAAAAATATAAATAAAATTTGATAAAAATCGTTCCATGTTTTCAATTTCATATTTTGTTTTTACCAAATTATACCTGTTTCACAGTTTTGATATTCAAGGTTTTCATAGGAAAGTTGAATTAAAGAACGATTTTTAATTGTTATATGTAACTTAGACCATAATTGCATTTATTGACATTTTGCACATGTGTACTTAATTGTTTTAACACGGCTTTATTCCTCTTGAGTGAGCAATCATATAATAAATAGAGGACACAGATTGGTCGCACTTCCCTCGATGTCACGTCCATACTGTATATCACAGGGACCTGAGAATTAGTTACAGCTATAGTTAAGT